CCACATACAACACACATGTGCAGGGCCACCTGTGTGCACATACACAATTAATTTAAAAGCTAAAAAAATCCATGTGGACAGTTAACAACGGCTTGAGGACATAGAAACCTTTACACAAGAAAGGGCTTTAAATGTGCATTTCTGTGACCTGTTTTCCCTTGGCACGAGGAGTCCCTCATTAGTCACACACTGTCCTTCCTCATGGCTGACCGACTGCACACTTCTTGAAACCCCCCCTGAATCCCAGTGACTCAAGCTCTACCTCCAACTCCAACTAACACATCCACGGATTCAGGCAAGCAAGAAGGTTAACTTGCAAAGGAACCCACATTGCACAGAATTCAGTTTGACTTTAATCCCAGCACTCAGGAGGCAGAGGCAGGCGGATCTCTGTGAATTTAAGGCCAGCCTGGTCTACAAAGGGAGCTCCAGGACAGCCAGGGCTACACAGAGAAACCCTGTCTCAAAAAAAAAAAAAAAAAAAAAAAAAAAAAAAAAATTCCGTTTGATTCCTAAGCCCAAATGATGTCTAATGCAAATTCAATCCATTTACAAGTAGTCAGGTGATTTTTCAGTCTGTCTGTGATAGCCTACCACATTATGTCTGAGTCCCTGCGTGGTATGTTTCATGCCTATCCCTCACAGCTCGGTGGACTGGCAGGGACAGTCATGTAATTGCTGATTTAATACTTCAGATCGAGAGACCCTACCTATCATGACATCAGCATAGGGTGAGACCACCGTCTGTCGTGAGCCATCCTGTCCCTGTGCTGACCCCCTTCTCCCAACATTACTCTCATGTTCCCACTGGGCATATTCGGTGCTATCATTCACAACTCTGGCACTGGTTACTGCAGGAGACAAACATGGCCCCCATCAATCCCAGGAGGACACTACCTATCACAGGCCGGTCTGTGCTCCCCAACATCCACATGTTGAATCCTAAACCTAGAACCTCAGCACATGCCTACACTTTTAAAGACAGCACCTTTACAGAGGTACCAATCACACGAGCTCACTGGGTACGCTCTAATGTAATATGACAGGACACAGGAGATCAGAACACACACAGGATGACTCTGTGAGGACATACGGAGAGGACCATGACTCCACTCAAGGCTGGCCTCAAGAGGAGCCAGCCTGACCACCCAGGTCTGTGGGAGAACACACCTCCACCTTCGGCCCACACAGCCCTGGCATGGGCCTCAACACATCCACGCAGGTATACACCCTCAGGCCCCAAGGTGACTCTCGGACATCTCATGGCCCAGGGCAGTCCTATCCACACACTGCACACCAGTGAAAACATTTCTCTGCCTCCTGAGACCAAAGAGAAGGGAGGTTTGCTTGGCCATCCTGGAAGCCCAAACAAAGTAAGGACCTCTCAGCTCCAACCACCTGACGCCCTGGGTCCTTTCAACTACCCTCCCTGGTGTTTCAGCAGGCAGAGATGGCAGGCGTCCACTCTCAGGGAGCATCACCATCCTTGCATGGTCCCTAGCTGTTCACCGGAGTCCAGCAGCTGAGTGAGGATGGGGAAGTTCTGAAAGAACGCCCCCGGCAGAAGCCTTGGGCAGCGGCAGTCCTGGCGTTAGGGTGTCTGATCCCTGAGTTTCCTGACAGGCCTGTGTCAGCTGGCAGGCTCACGTCCAGTTTAAAGCGTTAGTGTTGCAGCAGTGGCCAATGGAACAGCAACCCCTTCTAGAGGAAGTAAGGAAGGAAGTGACAGGCAGCCACCTGGACTGCCTGAAACATTTTAACAAGTGTCCTCACAGGCAGACCCTCGACCTAACCTGAACTTCTAGCAACTTCGGGTGGCTTCAGGGTTCTTCCCCTCCCCTACTAGGCTGGATCCTATCAAGGCCCAGCCGATGTCCTATAAATCAGGGCTTCAGCAAGAGGGTGCATTAGAACTCAATGGAGGAAGAAGAGATGAAGTCAGGGCTCTTCAGAGGACTGGATGGGTAGCTGCAGACTGAGGGGCTTGATCCTGCCTGGGTCTCTGAGACTTCATGGATCAGATACAGGCAAGAATTTGTTCAGGCTTCCAGACAGTGAGACCACCCACCACTTCAGAGACCTGCAGGCAGAGCTGCAGACCTGCTCTGGAAGGGATGGCTCCTTACTGGCATCCCAGGGCCCTCGGGAGCTTTGAGCTGCAACCCTCCTCAGCTCTTGGCTAGCCGCCTGCTGCTCGCCACAGTTCAAACTTGTTTTATTTAAATCCCGTGTGGCAGGCTGTTTTACCTCATTTAAGGTCAGTCCCAAATTGACAACAAAGTACCTCCAATGTGTACTCTTCGCTGTCTGTCCACTTCATTCTTACCAGGACAGGGACAGGAGACAACTGCCGTACTGGCTAAAATGCACTTGTACCCACTGCTTGCAGGACTGCCCAGCCTCAGTTGCTCCTGGTCACAGGGATCTCCTCAAAGGAGCTCTGGCCAAGGCTTACTCAAAAGGAAAAGCTACAGAAGTAGACCCCAGGGGTGGGTGGGGAGAGAAGGGTGAGGAAAGCTACGACATATCCCTAGGAATCTAGAAAGCTGCCATAGGGCTGGCTACAAGCTCAGGAAAGACCTAGAAAGCCACAGTTCCCATCTGAGAAGGAAGAGAAGGCTAAGGCTGGAGAACTGACTGTCTCAGGCATCTAAGATGTGACATCTCTGTTCCATCATGAGCCAGGCATGAAGCTAACCAGGAAGACACTTCATGGGTGCATAACAAAGAACACACCCCCTACACTCTGATGAAGGAGGCCAATTAACAGCCACAGCAGATAAACAAGAACTCTGGGACTCCTCGAGGGGAAAGGGCACTCTCACTAGGAAGCCTGCCTTCCAGGGACACTGGGCTGCTCTGTCTGGTACTGGACAGAGGGTGCCAGGGATACTGTGTGGCCAGGCAGGGGTGTCATGCCAGGCGTCAGGCACCAAGCCACCCTTCATGGCCAGCTCCTGCTCTTGCACCTTGGACCTTGCAGATCACTCTGCCCCTGCCCACAGGCTGACATCCAGGGCTGCCAGAGGCACTGGAGGGGACAGTCAGGTTAAAGTGTCTATCTCCTCCAAGTGGTGGGGGGAGATCTGCATGCAATAACCCTGACAAGATTTCTCTTATATTTTTGTTGTGACTAGCCTTTAACGGCTGAGCCATCTCTCCAGCTCATTTCTCACGGGGATAGCCACTACAGTTCAGCAGCTGCGCCCCACTGCCACCCACAAGTCGTTCCTGTCATTAAGGGATCCACCATCTGTTGCTCCTCACAAGACTCTCACCCTGCAGGGCCTCCTCAGTGTCTGGTCTCTTCCTTGACTTTTCTAAGCCACACACACACCCCTTTCTTATTCACCACCTTGTCTCCTGTTAAGTCAGTAGCTTCAGGCCCTTCCTGAGTTGCCCTCACACACACTGAGGCTCCCTGATCACATCGCAGCGCTGTGTTCTGTGTCCCCACCAGATCCTGGCTGGCCTAGCTGCCTCCCAGCAGATGATGAACTTAAGTCACAGCTGTCAAGAATCAGGAGTGCTGTGAGACCTGACCACTGGCTATCCACGCCCTCCAGCACTGCCCCCTCCCTTTCCAGCCTCTTCTGTTCCTCTCATTTCCAGGCAGTTCAGCTCTCTGGCCTCCCCTCCGTTTCTGACAAACCCCAAGCCCAGCATAGTTCTATCCTTTATTTTCAGCTAAAATTTTAGGGCATAAACTGATCATGCTCAGAGGCATGAATCTTCTAAGCATGCACTCCATAATATTAAACTGAGCATGCTCAGGAATGCACTCCTTAACTGAGCATGCTCAGGGATGGGACATTCCCCATATGACTATCTCTAGAGCCCCATGCTTCCTCTGCCCAAGAAGGCACTGCTTTGGGAACGCCCCAGTGTTCTCCTTCCTTCCTGAAGATGACACACCTCCCCCTCTTTGCTGTCTGGGCTGCACTTACCAAGCTGGGAATCCACAGCACTCATTTACAAAATCTCCTGCTCGAACAACCTGCTAAGATTTGATTTCTCCTTAGAAAGGGAAAAAGAACTAGGCTGAAAACCAGTACAAGTACAACTTTGTGTGTTCGCTTCAAATCTGCACTTAGCTACACCGATGTTACCTATGACCATCTGGGGGGAAGAGCACTGGATATAAGTCATAAGAAAAATCACTACAGCTCTGAGACAAAATCCCACAATGTGACAGTCACAGCCTTTGCTTTACCCCATGCCCTGGCCAGCTTTCAGAGGGTTTGGGAGACATTTTCCACTACTAAAACCAAAGTATGCACCAACACAGAAAAGGTGCCTGTAACGACAAGCGTCTCTGAGAACAGCTTCCCAGAAACAAGGAGGTAAGTGCTGACTGAGCCGCGATGTGGCCAGCACACCCTCATCTCAATCAGCAGCACCACCTTCAGACTGTCTTCTCTTACGTTCCAAACTTAGATCCCGCAGGAAACCAAAGGTCCCCAAGGGACACTGACCATTGACAGATCAGGTTCTCTGAGGCAGTGATGCTCACAAGGCCCCATCAGCTGCAGGCAAGGAAGTTAAGCCAGCCCAGGAACTTGCCAGGGAGGTCCCAAAGTGAGCCGGCCCCCTGTGCTCCTCTAAGCCTCTCACTTCACACACTGCAATGACAACTTGGGATCAGAAATGGGCTTCAAAGGAGCCACACACAACCATCGTGGCCAGGAGCCAGAGCAGTGTGTGTGTGTGTGGGGGGGGGGGGGGGGGTCGTCCTACCAAAGCTGGGAGAAATCACCTTCTCACGGTTACTACCTGTCCAGCACAGATGTCCTGACAGAACCAGTCAGAGAACAGCCTAAGGCCAGGGTCCAGACCAGCGGAGAGGTTTCGGAGCAGGACAAAAGCCTCAGTGCAGGGCAGAGCAGATCTGCTGTGACAGTTTGCAGAGGCCACAAGGCCACTAGGAGTAAGCCAGGGCTGTGAGCGGCAACTGGCCATGTTAGAGCGAAGCCATTCCTCCCGAAATCCCTCCAACTTACCTTTTTGTCCTCTTTGGTCTTTCGAACATTTCGATGGGGCCCAAAAATGTTTTGCATTCCAAAAGCCTTCCTGGACCAGTCTCTCTTCTGGGTACTCAGCGGGGCCTGAGCAAAGCTGCCCTCCACCCGGTATCGGTCTGCAGGAATCTTACTCATGGGAGGGGGCAGTGTGCCGCAGTTGACACTGGACCACCCATCAGTAGAGTCTGTGTAAGACTCCTGGTCACTGGCATGTCCGCACTGCCACTCTTGTAGCACATGGACCGGGAGCCACCTCTGGTTGAAACCACAGCTGGAACCTGTGGCACCCCTCTTGGAAGGGGGGACAGAACTCCTCAAGGAGGCTGGAGGGACCTCTAGGTGAGAGGCAGGCCCCGAATGCTTTGTTAAGTCCCAGAACCTGTCAGTGTGGGGGCTGGTTTCCAACGGGGAGCCCACCTCTGCGTCGTGGCAGAAGGCTCCATTCCAGGGTGCACCCCAAGGCTGTGAGCCCCTCCCACTCACACCTTCCCAGCCTGGGCTATTGCCCTGGCCGTGCCTGCTTGAGTTCCCGCCCAGGTCAACTACAAGCACCCTGTTGCTCTTCTCTTCCTGGTTGAAATTGCCAATGCCGCTGTCGCTGTTGCTGCTGGTGCTGTTATTCTGGTGGGCATCCGCATCCCCGTCCAGAAAGGCACGGGCCCGCACGCCCTCAATCAGCTCACCCATGTCTCGGTAGAGGACAGAGATGAACTGAAGCACAGGGAGGGAAGACGCTGGGAATTCCAAGCAGCCGCTCGTGTCTGGGTCGGCTGTGCATGCAAACCCAAACCTCCGTGCGATGCCCTGGTGAATCTTGTGATGAAACAAGTCTGGGTCCACCATGAACACATGGCAGGATGTCCTTAGGGCACCTTCATCCTCCTGCACCAGGCCTCCATCATCACTGGTCTGCATGGTCACCAGCCCGAAGAACCGCCTGTCATCTGGGCACACTGCACTGAATGCCAGCTTCTCAGCAGGGTACTCTGCCACCACACCAGCCCTGTCAGTGACCAGCTGCACACAGTCATGCATGACCTTCATGGTCACTAGTGAATGGATCTTCTGCTCAGCCCGCAGGCGGCGCATACAGCCACGAATGGCCTGTAAACTGTCATGCTCCAGGTTGGAACTTGTGGAAGGGAGCTCGATGGAGCCCAAATAGCCCACGACCATGGCAACATTTAAAATACTTGCATCTAATCCAAAGTCGTCATGACTGTCCAGCCCCACAGTGAATACAGAATCGTCATTGATAACTTTCGATATCTCTTCCTTGGAGAGCATGCTGGGATGTGGAGCACAGAGACTGTCCTGGCCAACGTCAAGCCGCAAAGCAGCTGACTCGGACAGAGACCTCTGCTTCAGCTTCAGGGGCTCAGGGCCACTGGCACAGAGACTTGGGCTTTCAAAAATCATGTTGAAAATCCCACCAGACTGCACCTCTTCCACAACCCTCTCTGCTCTGTTTATACCCAAGGCCTTAGAATCAAGTTTAGGCCTCAGCCAGCCTTTGCCCTCATACAGGCCGCCTTCTTCATCGCTGGAACAGGACTCCACATGACTGGTGCCCTCACAGATCACCATGTGCAGAACTCCAGAGCATTTTCCAATTAGTTTCACCACATCTTCATGTGAGGCTTTCTTCACATTGATCTCATTGATGGCAAGTATCTGGTCTCCAGCCCGGAGGCCCACGAAATCCGCAGGGCTGCCCCTCATGACACAGCTGAGCACACAGGGTGCCTGTCCTGACAGGGTGAAGCCGTAGCCAGCTCTGCCTCGGGCCACTTCCACGCTCCGCACTCGAGGGGGCGCAGGGCCAGGCTGCCGCTTCCCTGGCTCCCCTGCCCTGTACATCCTGGTGCACAGTCAAGGCCGATCGCATATCCCACTATTCCAGGGATTCCATGTGTCAAGGAATGTTCGATGCTACTGAGTTTTTTGTCTTGAAATGTTGTCCTAAGGAGGAAATGCAAATACTTTGTTATTAAAGATCCCATAACTCCAACCTTAGTGGCATTTCCTGACTCTACAAGGTAATTCACAACAAAAAAAATCACAAGGGTCTCTACAGTCACCACATAAATGTTAGGTGAAAGGCAAACAATCTAAATTTGGTGGCTCTGATGCTGGGCTAGGAACCCTGATATCAAAGTGGAAAGCTGTGGTCTCCTTCAGGGTTCCTGAAGAGGATGTACATAGAACAGCGTGGAGGCCTCTGCATTCAGCCTGAATAGATAGAAAGAGGTCAGGTGCAGGCCCAGGCTCCTCTGAAGGCTCCAGTGTGAAGAGCAAGGTCTACTGCTGTCCTGGGGTCAAAGGCCCTAAATATCACTACCCAACTCTTTGATCTCATCTCAAATCTCCTCTACAAAATGTTCTCCATATCCCATGACTCTCCCACAATTAATTTATTTTGAACAAAGTGCTATGCTAGGAAAATACGTAAGTCTGAAACAACCTCAATCAATAAAACCATGGAGGTCATCCAAGAGAAGAGATAAAGACAGCAATTGAACAAAGCAAAGCCACGCTGTTCTGACTTATTCCAGGGGGCATGACTTCACCAAGTACTGGTTGTCATTAAAATCCAGGCCTGAGATTCTAGGTATTTCTGTCCTTTTGGCTGGGAGCCTTAGCCTTTAATGGCTGAGCCATCTCTCCCAGCTCCTTGAGGGTATTTTTTAATCAGCCTTAAGATAGTGAAAGTGTAGCTACTTTACTCTAAAGAATATGGAGCCATTGTAGGAAAAATTCTGTGATTACCAGTTGCCACTAAATGAACTGTAAACTTAAAAAAAGGTTAAACAACAGACCCGTGTCAGGGTCCCACACACCACCCAGGACAGTGATCCACAGGACTCCCAGGACTCCCAGGACTCAGCACAGAGGCACATACAGGTTAAGATTCATTACAATGAAGGGACTCAAGACAAAATCAGCAGAGGGAAAAGATACACAGGGATGCCCAAGAAACCAGGCATGAGCTTCTAGAATCTTCTCCCGAGGGAATCACAAGGGCACACTTAAGTCCCTCTAGCAAGGAGCTGTGACAACATGCACTTGTGAAATGCCCAAGCAGGGGCCCAGCAGAGACTCGGAGTCCAGGGTTGTCACTACCACTGGTGTCCTCTGTAAAACATGTATCACAACTCCAGGCTCCCAAAAGAAAAGCAAGTATGGACATAACCCACATTGTCTACACAGCCAGCAAAGGCACAAGGACCCTTTCCCTCCAGTGGAGGCAGGCAGGCACTGTCCCAGCATGCAGGCATCGCTTGGATGGGTGTCTAATGCTCTGAGAACTCTACTGCCTAAGACTCTTTCGGGATTATCTTTAAAAACAACACAGGGCTGCGGAGGTGCTTCAGTTGGTAAAGCACTTGCTGTGCAGACATGAGGAACTGAGTTTGACGCCTAGCACTTACATAAAAAGTGGGCAAAGCAGTGCCTGCCTGGGACTGCAGTACTGGGGGAAGAGACAGGGTACTAGGGGCTATGGGCAAGGCAATGCAGCCTAACTGAGAAGCTAGGCTCAGTGAGAAGCCTGTCTCAAAAATAAGGCTGAAGCCAGATGTGGGGGCCTATACATTTAAGGCCAACACTCAGGAAGCAGAGGCAGGCAGACTGTGAGTTCAAGGGCAGCCACGGATACAGAGTAAGACCTTGTCACATACAGAGAGAGAGAGAGAGAGAGAGAGAGACAGAGACAGAGACAGAGACAGAGACAGAGAGGGACAGAGAGAGACAGAGAGAGACAGAGAGAGACAGAGAGACAGAGACAGAGACAGAGAGAGCAAGCACAACTGGCCTCCATATGCTCCACATGCACAGACATACATGCCTGTGTGCCTGAACATGCACAAACACATACACACACATAAACCACACACACATAAATAGATATCAACACGCATATATCTATAACCACCACACTCAGAAGGCTGAGGAAGGGGAGCTCCAGAAGGTTGAGGTCAGCCTGGGCTATTAGGAGACCCTATGTCTGGAAGAAAAGGCAATACAGTAGAGGTTGGAGTGTGATGATCCACACTACAATAGTGAGCTTGGTATTTGCAGAACACGTTGCTGAATTAATTACTCTCTTAAGACATTCTTGTGTCTTAAGATAGTTTCCAGTAACAGAACTGTGAACAGATTCTAAATGATTCACAGACAACCAAGGCTAAACAGTGAGAGGCCATGGAAGAGCACCAGGAGACTGCAGGGATGGTCCCAACAGGGAGGGCAAGGGTACACAGGATGCATGTTTGAGTAGAATTACTTTTGATACACAGGAGCGAAGAAAGAACAATTTATCTATAAAATATGGCATCATTTAATATACAAGTGATGATATTCATAATTTAACTATGTATAAATATATGTATATTCAATAATAAGATGTACATATTGGAGCTGGGAGTACAATTCCATCTAGAGAATGATTAGCATATGAGAGGCCCTGGGTTCCACTCCACACTGAAGATGACCAAGAAGCTGTTTTAAGATCTCACTGGGGGCTGGAGAAATGGCTCAGTGGTTAAGAGCACTGACTGCTCTTTTAAAGGACCTGGGTTCAATTCCCAGCACTCACATGGCAGCTGACAGCTGTCTGTAACTCCAGGATGCAACACCCTCACACTCACACAAACATACATACAGGCAGGCAAAACATTGATAAAATAAAAATAGATAAATTAAAAAAAAAACAAGATCTCACTGGATCCTCTCTGGGGAGTGCTGAGCAGAACTGTGCCTCTAACACATTTGCACTGTAATGCCCACAACTCATCCACGTCCCCTCTCCAGCCACAAAGCATGGCCAATGAGCTGATGTTAAGGATGCTGAGATTAAAAAAAAAACAAGATCTCACTGGATCCTCTCTGGGGAGTGCTGAGCAGAACTGTGCCTCTAACACATTTGCACTGTAATGCCCACAACTCATCCACGTCCCCTCTCCAGCCACAAAGCATGGCCAATGAGCTGATGTTAAGGATGCTGAGATGGGGAGACAGGGTAGGGCCCAGGACAGAAGATGGAGGCAACAAAGCCTCCAGGAAGAATCAGCCCTGTGACACCATGACTTCAGCCAGGTCACCAGAGCCACGGGTCACCACAAGGCAAGCTGTAAAGCCACAGCCTTATAGTTTCTTGTTTGGGCAGCTCCAGAAGCAAACACAAGGGACTGCAGGGGTCACAGCACAGGATGTCTGCCTGGAACAGTACTGACCATGGTGTCACTGTGAAGGTCAGTCACCCCTGCAAACTGCTCCAGGACCAGAGAGCTGCGGCACCAGGCTGTCTTCCTCTGGGGCCAAGAAACCCCTGGCTTCTCTAGACAAGAGTCCATGAACACAGAAGGCACTGACTGGGCCTGAGACAGGCCCTCCGCAGAGCCCAACCTCATCAGCACAGGTGCCGCCAAGCCACATTCTCTAACAGGGACCTACCCCCAGCAGACCCCCGTCCATCTCTTGCCCTTCCCCACAGCAATCATATCTCTACCCCCACCCAGCAAGACCTGTGGCTGTCAAACCCCCACCTGGCACCACCTACACCAACTTCTACATCAGGCACCCACCAAATACCAACAGCTGTCCCAGTGGCAACACCCTACAGGTTCAAGATGATGGTCCCTGGCCTCCCAATTACTGCAGCAGCCTAATACCAACCCCACTCCTAGGCCCTTCCTGAAGAACCTTATGGAGACCCAGGCCTGTCCTCCTACCCGTCCATCTTCCTGACCCTGGCAGACCTGGATCTGGATCCATGAGAACACAGGATAGAAGTAGGATCCAGCAGGTTTTTAAGCCACATGGTTGTCACCAAGCAAGGCCCAGAGCAGCAAGGTGAGAAAAAATAGCTCTTTATGTGAAGACCTCTCAGCCCACAGACCAGGGGGCCACAAGGCCTCTGCTCTAGAGGACACCATTGACTTCTGACACTTGCTGCTTCATGAATTATTCCCAAAGGCAGTGGCAACCCAGCTGCTCTCAACCAGGGAGTCCTTCACCTACTAAGGAATCTCCTGTCTGCTTCTTCTCCTTAAGGACCCAACTTCTGTCCAACTGAACTCCAAGCCCCCACTCTGAGCTCTCCCTTAAAAATGTGCTACAGCTGGGCAGTGGTGGTGTACACCTTTAGTCCCGGCACTTGGGAGGCAGAGGCAGAGGCAGGCAGATCTCTGAGTTCGAGGCCAGCCAGGGCTACACAGAGAAATCCTGCCTTGACAAACAAACCAACCAACCAACCCCACTTGCTATCAACTCACAAGCTACATACCTTACAAAGCCTCCCTCCCCTCCCCTTCCTCTCCTCCTGTCCCCTCTGGACCTCTTCTCCCCTATACATGCATCAGCCTCCTTAGGAAATTCAGGCCCCAGGGCCTCAAGCTGCCCCACCAAGCTTTCCAAGTCACATGGCTGTCCGGCACTGCCTCTGCCACAAGGCATCCCACCCACCATAGGGCCCTGGGTCCCCTCTTAAGTCCTTTACACCAGGGTCCCCTCACTGTGCTCCCAGACCTCTGAAAGCTGCCTCTCCCTTCCCTTCCGGCTCCAGCTCATGGCTGGCCTCCCTCTGTGACAGTCTCTCTTCTCTCTCCCCTTCTCCTGCTCAGCCTCTAGGCAGGGGTCCCAGCTGACCTCATCCCCAGGGATTTTCCATGACTGGTCCCCTATACACTTATCTCCCGAAAGAATGCCCAACACCTCAGTCCCAGCAGAGTCCAAACATCCTCAGAGACAGGGCCAGCTCCCCAGATGTCAGAGGAAGGCAGCCAGCCCATAAGGGCCCCTAAGAGAGCACCCCTAAAACCTTGTCAAGGACATGCAGATTCCAGAAAGTACCACCCCAAGATAAAGTTATCCAAACAATGGCAGACCACCACAATAGAACATCTCCTAAGCCCAAAACATGGGGCTGAATGGTGGCCATCCACAGCATACAGCAGAGCAAG